TATATATATATATATATATATAATTTTTAGTGAAAGAATGCAAAGATAATTATTTATGTCGGTGGTATTTTATAAATTTTTCTAAACACTCTTATAAATATTTATAGAATATGGTAAGTATAAACAAGTTATTTATAAACTCTTCTGAATAAAATCTAGATAATAATATAAAATTAATTTACTTTGTAAAAGTACTATATATTTTCTTGAAAGTTCAGCGTGTGAAAATTTTCGTAATATAAGTTTCATTTTTTTTATGGTCTTACTATTATATGTTTAGATAATTTTTTTAATAAGCACAGGCAAAAATTAAAAGAAAATAAACTAATTTTTTTATAAATTAAAACTAATTTGTATATAAATTAAAAATAAATTTATGAAAAAATAAGAGAGAAATTTTAAAAATTAGTTTATACATAAACTAATTTAACTAATTTTTAATTTATTAATGAATTTATTATTTTATGGAGCTTGCATGTTTTATTTGTTTAAGTCTAATTCCCAAACATTTTATTTTCATTTGATCGACCACATTTAACAAAAGCACTTGGTGAGTCTCTTTGTAGATAATATTTTATGAAAATTAATACTATTTTATCATATGTTAAAAATAAAATAATGATATACCAAATCAAATCTCTTGAACACTACTAATGCTGGAGAACACTTGCTAGCAATCAATTTCAAAGGTAACAACACCAACATTGAGCTCTTGCTTTAAATATAATGTCATTACAACTTCATTCTGTTTCCTTCCATAGTTTTGCATTTCTACTTTCCCACACACTCCATTAGATCATGGCAAACTCAGCTGCATTCCCATAGACCTAGTTTTGAATCAACCCGAAGATCAGGTTCTTCATACTATCAATATCTTCCATCATGTTGCGGAGGAGCTCTTCGAGGTTACTGGAGCTCCAACATTGTTGAACTTTTGAACAACCTATGTAAATATTTCTCAACATTATTATGATGTCATTAAATGTCACATTAATAATAAAAGATGACGTTTTGTGTCACTTGACCATATCATGCATTTTTTGTTTTTAGTTTATACAATATGTGTTGCAATATTGTGTTGAACGAGGGGAAAAAGTGAAAAAAGGTTGAGAGAATGTATATTTTATTTATTTAAGCTTATTTTATATTAATTTTATTAATTTTATATATTATATTTAGGACATATATATGTTCATCATATAATATGTCACTTTATTTTTTTTCTTTTGGTTTATGTAACTTTTTTTTTCCACAATTTTTAATCCTTATATTGCACTACTGGTACATGACATTATTGCTCATGTAATATATTATCTTGACAAAGTGACAGAGTTTCTTAGGATTAGGAAGGGGCTACAACGCCTCTTCTCCCGATTCTTTTTCTCCTTTTAAAAATTATATAAATTTTTTACATATTACTCCTTTCTGTCATTTATATAAGAAACAAATTAATACATTATTTTAGTCTTAATTAT